TGATGTGATGTCTGTGTAGTATCTTACTAATTTTGTCTGTAGTGCCTCTTATGTACGGCAGGACAGCTGTTCCATAGGTCTGTTCATCTTCTGGGTCTCTATTATGTCTCAGTGTGTTTTTGTGGATCAAGCCAGCGATTTTGCTTTTGTGGAAGCCGTTGGTGTCAGTACTTTAGTCAGGGTGCATAGTACAGTCTTAATGTGTGTCTTGTCTGCCAGGCGTTTGGTTCTAGTAATTAGTGTTTTAGCCACGGAGTTTATCTGTGCTGGGTGGTGGTGGGATTGGGCGTTGAGGTAGCGGTTAGTGTGTGTTTTCTTCTGGTAAACGGTGTGTCCTAATGTGCCATCTGTTTTTTTGTAGATTAGTACATCTAGGAATGGTAGTTGTTTGTTTGTTTCCATTTCCATGGTGAACTTGATTTTGGGGTGTTTAGGTATATTAGGAAAATGTTTAGGTTTTCTTTTCCATGGGGCCAAATCACAAATGTGTCATCGATGTATCTTAACCATAGTTTGGGTTTGTGGATGGCATTGGCCAGGGCTCTGGATTCGAATTCTTCCATGAGCAGGTTTGCAATGACGGGTGACAGTGGTGATCCCATAGGGGCTCCTTCAATTTGTTTGTATCTTTGTCCTTTGTATATGAAATATGTGTTGGTTAAGCAGTGTTCTATTAGTTCCATGAGGTGTTTAGCTGGTTGGTATTTATTTTTGATGATTTCAAGGGTCTCTTTTATCAGGACTTGAGTGAATAGTGAAACCACGTCAAAACTTACAAGCAGATCTTCTTGCTCCACATGTAGTCTTTGATCATTTCCAAGAAGTGGTATGAGTTTTGTACATGTGAAGCTGCTGTTTCAGCATGGGGCTGTAGCTGTTTTGCTAAGTGTTTAGCTAGATTTTGTAGTGGTGCTCCTCTGGAGCTGACTGTGAGTCTGAGAGGTATGCCTTCTTTGATGAAACATATATTTGACTTATGACTGGAATTGACTGGAATTGAGCCCAGAATTATGGTTGTAAGTCATTGTGTTCATAAATTGAGGTGCTGCATGACTGGATTCAAAATTGCTTTTTATGAATGGGTATTTAACATAGCGGTTGTTAAGTGAACATTGCAGTGGTTAAGCGAATCCATTTTCCCGAATGGGCATTGTTTTGCCAGAAGATGGAAGTAAACACCAGAAACAACAACATTTTTTTTTACAAGTTATGAACACATGACCAGAGGGCATTGAAAGCAGCTATGAAGGTGCTTCAGTTGCCAAGCATCCAAAATGCAATCACAGGACCATGCGTGTAAGGACCTGACACAGCTAGTCCCATAGGAAAGCAAGACTCTTCAATCCATTAAGTTGAATCAAAAGAACCTTTTCTGAGAGAAAGTGATTGCAGGAAAGCAAGGCAAAATCTGAAAAAAAAAAACCCTTGAAAAACACACAGCATTCTTTTGTTTCCCCAAAACCAGTCACCCTGACCAGTCCACCATCAGCCAATGTGTATCCCACAAGTTTGTTATGGAAACTTTGAGGAGCAAGGCAGATAACTGTTCATCCTCAGGGCACTATGGCCTTGAACTCAGGCTGGACTCATCTGGGAGGGACTCCACTTTGTCTCTGAAGGCATTCCCCCTTCCTCCCACCCTGCTTCCAACAAAATGGCAGGACACGATGGTGGACCTGACAGTGGGTGTGTGTATAGCCATTCATCTACAAAAATGAATCACAAGTATCTCTGGGAAAGTCCATCATAACTTTGAATGGTCATTAAGCGATCAGTCATATATCGGAGATTGCCTGCATATAGTCAAGGGAAATATGCAATGGTTCTTTCTTACTGCTTCTTGTACATAGAACTCCATACAGGGGTGGGATGCTACCGGTTCTTCCTGGCTCTATAGAACTCTGAAGAGAAAAACGTAAGTACTGAACTGGTAGTAAGATCCGTTGAATCCCACCCCTGACTCCAGTGTCAGAAATTAATAACATATCTTTATCGTATCCTATATTCTATATCCTACCCTGAAATGTTTTGACCGGCCTCTCTTGACAAAGGTCCATCAGGAGTATGAGAAATGTAGCAGTAGAAGAAATATTCGCCACATTTAGGCAGTTTTTATCAACTTGAAAGGAAGAATGAAATGATATATGTTATTAGAAATCTTACTGTTACATGAACATTGTCAGCCAAACTTAACAGAGAGCAGATACCTAGTTTCATCAAGTAAGGTGTCAGAGTTTTTTACAGCACTACAGCTGCTTTTATAATTCATGAATCCATTAAAAATTCATGCTGAGGAACCAATGGTGCCTTTTGTGTATATGTGTGTGTGTGAGAGAGAGAGAGACTAATAAAGTAGAACTGAAGTAAGACAAATAAAACATGCATGCAGGTGGGAATGAAAAAAATTCCTAACAAGTCCTCTTTGTTTAATTTTATATTCCAGAGATTTAATTTAATTTATCTTAATTATGGGATATATCCGTCATCTTAGTTGGACTCTAGGCAATGTATATGTAGATTTAAGTTATAATAAAAACAGTGATACAAAATAACAATAATCAGTAATAAAAATATTCTGGTACAGTTGTTCAGATGGAAATGGCTTGACCTATGTAATCTTTTCTGGAGAAATAGCACTTTCTGGAAATGAGGGAGAACACGGCCTGGAGGAACTGCTCCTTTGAAATAGCCTCCTGGTTAAAATTAGATTGGGTCCCTCCCTGTCTTTTGTAGTTTAAATAAGATTTTGTAGATTATTTGGGGAACGATGCTGTTTATTTTTTATTGTTCTTTTATTTTAAATTCTTTCTCATGTATATTTTAATTATACATGTATATGTATGAACTATTGAGAGTCCTTAAGTCAACTGCAGCAGTATATAATGATGGTCTTCTTCCATCTCTTTCCCTTTAGCTCTTTATCAGCCTTCTTCTAGTCAGCCGATTGTGCCATATAGTAATGGTCCAATTGCACCCGATGTATCCAACCCCACCTCGCAGCTATATTCATACCACAACCACACATCCCAGTTGCATTTTTTAGTAATAAAACAATCAGCCCTCGTGTCCCTTTCACTACCTAGGTCAGGAACAGGAGAATGTCTTATTCCATGAGGGATACTTCTCAATTCTCTGACTCCTGCTCTAAGAACAGATAATTTAATCCTTGTTATCTTTTCCTATGATTGCTTCATTTATGCTTGTACTTTTCTTCTGCCACCATTATCACATATTTTCACACAGTCCCAAGATGAGGTTTGAGTTCACTCTCCATTGTTCATTTCACTACAGTCAGTTTTACTTGGCTCTTATCCAGCCAGCTTAATTATCCTAGTCCTGGCCTGATGTGACTCTTGGTTCCTCAGACCTGTTTTTAATCTTTCCTTCTTCTATATTTTATCTACCTTTGTTTGTTCACACACACACACACACAGAGAGAGATGCACACACACACACTTTTTTTTCTCTTTCCTTTTATCCTCTTTTCATTCTTTTGTCCCCCATGGCTCAGTTGACATCACAGCCACCTAGTTTCACACCATCCTCTTTTCCATTCTATGATGGGCCATCCAAAGGAAATCCAAATAATGTTCTCAGCAAACGTCAATAGAAGTTATTGAACAATTATAAAAAAAGGTTGTACAATGAATTCTATTTTCCCCATGTGATGTCAATCCCCAGAAAAATATGCATATTCCATTGCTATGTTTATTCTTCTTCTTTCACAGAATTAGAAATACATTAGATTCAGTCTGTGTAATGGGATCACAGGATCCCATCGTCTTTCTGATCATCTTTTATCCAATCAGTTTTAAGTGAAGAGGCCAGGAATAATCCAGGACCAGTTCATATAGAAATCTTATGTGTTACTATCAACTATACTCATGTGAAGTGTTTTGTTAATATATTCATTCTTTCCTGATCCATTTCTATGGTAATATTACTGTAATATGATTCTAAAGTGACGATGCAACTTTATCAAAATGCTAATTGGACACCAGCAGGACAGATGGATTCAGTCCTAGGAAATTGGCATCTTCTCTGTGCTTTATCTTATGCGTTCCATTTTTACCTTATGTGTTCAGTTTTCTTTTATTGGCCACATATAAGTCCTTCTGGCTATAAAATTGGCTTTTGTAATATTGCTCTTCAAAGTATAATTTTTGTTCAGGCTTTGAAGTAACTGTATGGAATAAAAGGTGCAGATGGGATCAATATTGTCTTGTTTAAGATGAGAAGCAGATGCTCATTTTCATGTTAAATGTTATATTGTTACGATTTCTGATACCAGTCGAGTAAAATAGGATTTTAAAAGGATTAGAGAAATAAATGAGTCTAGGGTACAATTGATGCAGATTATATTTGTTTATATAGTATATAGCATTGGTACATGAAAACCAGAAGTCTACAATGTTATTACAGACTGGTGGTTTGGCTGCTAAGATCATTCAGGATATACTCACTCCCTATCCAGGGTACCCCATTTGTGTGTGTCTGTGTGTACTCCATACACAGAGCAGCCAACAAAGTTCTGCGGGAGTGTCAGTGTCATCAGGGTTTTCCCCATACCAGTTTTGTCTTGCTTTTGGCCAGTCCGCTGCCAGTTGGATTCTTGTTTCTGCTATTAATCCCACTAGAGTGGTACCTATTTATGTATTTGCATGCTTTCAAACTGCTAGGTTGGCAGAAGCTGAGGTGAGTGATGGGAACCCACTCTGTCATGCAGTGGTAAGGCAGACTAAAAAAGCCAGTCTTCTCCGGCCGACAAATCCAGCATCTTTAAGACACTCAGTCACCATGCTTCATCTGATGTAGATATTTTTTCATGCTTTCTATCAAGTCTTATATCATATGACTTACAAAGGCAAATATGTCCTGTATTGTCGTTTTGTGTATGTTCATATTATTTTGACTGAAATATGTCTATCTTTCAACCGTTCTTTGTGACTCTGTGACTCTGCTTCCAGAATTTACCAGCAATTCTTTTCTTTCCTTCATAGGAACAAGGCAAAATTGGTGTAGTCTTCAATATTGGCACAGTAGATATCTCTATCAAAGAAGAGAGCACTCCTGTGAATGATGGCAAATACCATGTTGTGCGTTTTACCCGAAACGGTGGTAATGCAACACTTCAGGTAGATGGATGGCCAGTTAATGAACATTACCCTTCAGGTAAATCTCTAAATAAAGATGTCTTTCTCCTTTTAAAAATTATTATCCTTAGATCCTGATGTAGGAGCTGTAAAATATATTTGGTGAAGAAATGATTCTATAACTCACCTTGCAACAATGAAGAGATGACTTAAATATCTTCCAATTTTTAAAAGAAAAGTTATTAGATCATATTCATCATGCTGATCAATAATATACTTTCTGTTATGTCAATTGTTAGAGAACAAGAATGGCACAAATATTGGATGCAGGTAATGAAGAAGAAATCACATGCACCTCTGAATATAATCTGATTCTTCAGAGAATGAAAAAAAAAGTAGCCTATAATCTACATGTGTTAGAATATTCCTGTAGATTATGGGTGTTCTAAAAAAAAACAGTCTAATGCACATTGTTGCAAACTACTGTCAACATTATTTGGCACTATTAAAATTGCTACTTGTGGCTTTTCTTATTCATTAATAATGGGATATAATTGAATAATTCAGTTCATTTAATATAATACAAAGCAAAAACAATCATGAGTATTTAAAATCATAAATATTTACACTGTTTTTTGCACATTTCCTTACTTCTTCTAATAGTTTCTGTCTGATGCTTTGACAAAAACTGTTTGAAGCAATAAGGAATGTATACAAATTTATATTTACTGTAAGTGCAACAAATGTAGTTTTATGTTTCTGTTTTTATTTTGAAAACTCCATAAGATATAATTTTATTTATTCAGTTTGAAAAATACCTTAGAGTCTTAAGGTGCTTTGAATTAAAACATAGCAATGAAAAAACAGTTAAATTATCTCATCCACTCCAGAAGCGGAAGATATATGTTGGTCAGCCTATTTAAACTTATTTTAAATAAGTTTATTTAAACTTATCATGATCATGATAACAGACAGTGATAAAGTAGCTTGCGGACGTTCAATATGCTATGTTGTTTCTACTTTTATAGCAAAATTGCATTGAACAATAATTCAATTTATGGACTTTTGGTCAGCAACAGGTAGGAAATTATTTCAGAATAGTTACTTCAGTTGAATTCAGTTGAAATAATTCAGAGTGGATCCTGAATTTGACAAACCTATTTCTTGATAAGCTTAAAAAATATGATAGACAATATCATCACCAGATGTATTTGTTATTTGCTGACAAATCACACTCAACATGTAGTCCTTAATGGCAGGGGTCCCCAACCACCGGTCCCCAGACTGGTACCGGTCCGTGGATCTTTTACCAGGCTGCAAAGCTTGGGCCCTGCAAGGGAGAGAGAGGGAGAAAAGAGCACTATGGTATGCCCAGCACTAGTCTCCCTTTTCCTCTCCTTCTCCTTCTCCCCCGTCAACCATGCACACGCATGTGCGCAGATAAAGCTGTTGCTGTTGCTGCTGCACCACAACCTGGAGGAACAGATTGAGCACAGGAGCTGAAAGAGCGCCACGGCATCCGTCGCCAGGGCGCAAGGAAGCAGCAGCACCTGCGGCGGTGGCTGCGCCTCCAACTTTCCCAGGGAAGGTCATTCCCTGACCAGTTGCGCTTCCCAGCCCACGCTTGCACCCCTCGCCCCCCCCCCCCCCACTGCCCACTTCCTCGCAGGCGGAGGTGGGAAGCTGCGAGGAATTTGGATGTGCTTTCTAGCCGGCTGTGCCAAGTTTTTTCTTTTTTTTGCCGGAGGCTGAAAAGAAGAAGGGCGACGGGTCACTGAGGAAGGTGAGAGAGACTGAGAAGGGAGAGAGAAGCCCGGCTAAAGCAGCTCCGTGCTGCTTTAGGGACTAGTAGTAGAAGGCGGCAGTTGGCGGCACTTGCCGCCAGACGATGCTTCTGGGTTTTGGGTTGGAAAGTGGCGTTTGGGTGCTTGCGCCTTAGTTTCGTCAAAGGGGGGGGCGGCTTCAAACGAAGAGCCATCCTGATGGTGGTGGAGTCTCACGTTACTCAGGTACCGGTCCACGGAAGAATAAATAATCGTGAAACCAGTCCCTGGTTCAAAAAAGGTTGGGGGCCACTGCTTAACGGAACTATAGATACATGGAGGGAAGTAAGGAATGAGGTGCCACTATATATAAGGCTAAGTGCTATTGCTATAAACCAGCCACAGTGATCTGAGTGGTTATCAATATCTTGGATTCAATACCCAAAAAATACTGTATGGCACGTAGAAATTCTTCATGTTAACAACATTTCCATCTGTCAATTGTAAAAAACCACTCTGCTTGGATCTGCATATAAATCACAATACATCATGACATCCTGGGTTCTTGGGAAGAACTCAATGTTTATAAAGGCCAACACCCGTAACAAACTGGCATCTGTGACTTCACATGTTGCGATCAGTTAATTAGTAATAGTAACAATAATTTGTTACTATTACTAATTACTGTTACTAATTATTATTACTAATTGCTGTTACTAACACGGTGAGCCAGACACAACTTTGCGACGAACAACAATAGCAACAACAACAATTAATAGTAAACTGGGTTGTCCATGTTGTTCAATATAAAGCAGGAATAGTTGACTGGACCCAAATGGAACTTGGTAACTTGGATTGAAAGAAAACTAATGACAACGCACCATACTTTGTATCCAAAATCAAAGTATCAAATATTGATCATCCGTATTTACCAAGAAGTGAAAAGATTAGAGAATTTCTATAGGTAAAACAAACTGTGGTCAAAGAAAAACATGACCTGAGTGACTATGTTAAAAAAAACCAAGAACCCTTGCTGAAGGAAGCCAGTCAAAGAAACCTCTTAAAATAACAAAGATGGAAATTGAATACAGAAAATAAACAATTGAAAACTGATTTGTTAATTGAAGAATAGAGAGGGAAAAGCTGACTTAAAACCCATATGGAGTTGGTTAAGATCAGGAGTGTTAAAGAAAGAAACTGAAAGTTTTATTTTAGAATAGAATAGAATAGAATAGAATAGAATAGAATAGAATAGAATA